TAATTGAAACACATTACGTACGATTTCAACTAGGAGGTATGATCACTTTCATTTCACATTTGTGACTACACGTGCTTATGCAGTTGTCGGGCGGCTAGAGAGTATCGAAATATATGCGAACTGTATGACGTCACGTACTATTGTGATGACGCAAGGATTTGAGCCAATCTGATCATAGACCTTAGAAATAGTTACGAAAAAACTAAACAAGGCAAATAAAACCACAAAGAACAAGTACAAATAAAGAAAATTAAAAAAAAAAATAAAAAAATGTCAATTACAAAAAAAGAAAGGTTGTGTTGTTATATGATTAGATAATGAATACATATTTAATACTCTTAGTTGTTTGTTATATAATATATCTAGATATTTACCATGTAAAACAGCAAATCACTTCCCTGTATTTATTGAATGTATCACCAAGGTCTAACAATACACACTTACTACCGAAATCAGCAAATAAAATAAATATACGGCTATACTGATAGCAATAACAGAGTCACGAATTTCAGCCACAATGTTTTGAGTGATCAAGCTAAAATGATGAAGTTCAGGTATTAGTAAAAAAATCATTCATATTCATCACTGGTGCACTGTGGTGGATAAAAATAGTTATATACTGTTTGTACTAACTAATGTTTCTGATTGTCAGCTTTTGAGTGACTGTGTTTTCATTTGGCACAAGTGTGTAAAGTTGGGTTGGGATTAGCATTGTTAGGCGGTTGGGGTTCGTTGAGAGCAATCTGCCGTGGATTCATACATAGAAAGTGGTATAGTGTTATAGGGATGAGGCAGTACGCATGACATATAAACAAACTAGTTCGCCCCTGCTTGCCGCTTCAATCAGTTGTAAATAGAGGCCGAATTAATCAATGCTAAAATTAATGCTATAATATAGAAAATTTGTTGAACTTTTGAGATTTAAATAAATTAGATAATGGTCCGACATTTAATTATTTCAGAATTGGTGGCTATTAGCTTAGGCAGCGTGTAACTTGAAAATAAAAGTGATTGTAACTGTCAGTGATCGCGCGGTGGCGCCCTTTAATAAACTAATGTACTCACACGACTACTCACACACACGTAAAGCCATGCACTCCTATAAAGTATACGGGTATGTATCTGAAGCAATTTATTTTGACCATTAGTTGAATATTCGAAAATACACTAAAATAATATATCGATTATATTACATGCTAGTTGTAGGAAAACAGGGGTTTTTAATAATTTCAAGATACTAGTATTTTTCAGGGGTAAAATCAGTTTTCAGCTGTCTGCAACGAAGCTTATTTCTGTGATTAGTACCTTTATTGTCATTCCTCAGCTCTTGAGAGCGAGGTTATTTGTAGTTATGTTGGCGATCGCATCTGTGTCTGCGGAAGTACTATGGGAGATTGCATGATGGGAGTGAAAATTCTTTTGATCAATAAAATAATTTTAGAAAAGTGAAAACTAGAGTGACTGTGAAATAAAGGTTGGTCATGGAATCTGAATGAAATAATGAAAGGAAATTGAACTTGTATGAAAGGGGGGTAAATGTAGCTAGAATGCAAGGTCAAATTCCGGGGGTCAAAATACGCCACAATGCATTCATATCATTGCGGCTGCAAAGTGACAACAACTATGGATGCAGTAAAAGACTTGATTTGCAGTTTGCGTGAATGGCCGGGGAAAAAACATGCAAATTCTGTGCTTCAGTAACAGTATTTGCTGCTTTTTTTGTGCAATGAAAATTAATACAAGAAATGCTGCCAAAAGACATTTCCTTCTAGTAAACAAAACGTTTATCTTGTAAATGTTATGGTTCTGTTACAGCAAATCTCAGAAGTATTGGGGCATCCAATTTGCAAACTCGCTTCGAATCTCGCTGGCGCCGATTTGTGGTCGCGTCTACTCGGGGCGAGTCCATATTGCTTAGGTGATATAAAATGCTTTTACGCGGCTTGAATAAAGAGAAAAGTTGAGAAACAATTCCCAACAAAGAAGGAGAAAATAAATTTTCACATCCAACCGCCAATAATATTCAACCTCATTCGTCGTTTTGGAGGTAGCCATCAGGACATCGATTACGAACAGCGAGTTACGAAAACATTGAGTTACAGAAATGACCACGCCCATGTTTTTGAAACCACGCCCACTTTGGTGAAACCACATCCAAATTGTAACAGGTAATTGTAACAAGTGTGACAGTCGTCGTGTTGCGTCCTATTCGATATGGGACTCATAGCGACGTATACAACGCGTGTAAAATACGACCACCACGCTTTCAGTTAACAGAACTTCGAGTTACGGGCACCATACATTTCGAACTTTAAATAACAGTTAATCAAACTTCGAGTAACGGGCAACATATATTTTTTGTTTTGTTTAACTTTCTAATTTTTTAACTCGAATTGTGATTAACAGTAAGCAATGTAGATTGTAGTTATTGTTCATCCAGATACTGTCTTTCATTTTTTACCACGCAATGAGATTGTTTGTTTCAACTTTTGGGCTTAGTCCCTGTACATCTTCACAACTTTACAGAGGCCAGAGTCGAGATACCTCCTCATCGGCGTCATTCCATATTTTCATCATCTCAGACTCTCTCTCTTTTATTATATAACGATTAATTGTAAATTAAAAAAACCCACGAATGTCTTCCATGTCACTAGTTCAACGTGTGAAATCAGGCAAACATATTTTCAAATCTTCACATTACTCGATTTTGGCGCGTTTTGTTGCAATAATAACAGTAACATTGTTCTGACATTACAGACACGCACATGAGTTACCAACTCGAATTTGAATAACTGCTAATTAAAGTTACAAAATTTGAAAGTTACTGAATGTGGACGTGCAACACAAACCAAAATGTATGTTGCCCGTAACTCGAAGTTCTTTTAACTGTTAATAATGATTGAATG